AGTAAAAAGAGGGGAGCATACCATTTTGGACACCATCGAGGCGTTGAGAGGTCTGGGCTTTCCATCGACCTTCTCTTTGGGCTTCAGCTGCAGCACCCAGTCGAGGCGACTCCAGACCTCGTCGTTCGGGGTCCGACATGCCGCCATACTTCCACATCGGCCACGCCCTCTCTGCCAACGGAGCAACCCGACGGCGGTAGAGGGTGTGGAACACCCGCACTCCGTCAAGGCCGTGCCGCACGAGCTTTTGGAGCTCCGCCTCGATGACCTCCACCTTCTTCTCCCGACGGGAAGGGCCCCACAACCAACTTTCCCGCCTCTCCAGACTTCCGCCGGTGAACGCCGGGAACGGCGCCTCCACCGGGTTCCTGATATAGAACCACTCCCCGTGCCACCCCCGGTTGGAGTCGCAGGGGATGTACGCGGGATACGAGCCTTCCGCGCTCGGTTTTCTCTACAGGGCGAAGCCCCCCACCGGCGCGGCCTCGGGCGGATTCCCCATTGGCAAAGTTCGCCCGGAGAACAGCCGCCGGAAGAAATCCGCATGCGGCTCCATCCCGAGGAAGGCCTCGCAGACGGTGACGAAGCCGGCGATATGCAACACCCCCGTCGGATTAAGGTGCTGCAGCTCCAGACCCCACTCATTAAGGAGCCCGCGCAGGAACCAGTGCGCGGGGTATCCTAACCCGTTCTCGTGGAAGTCAAGGAAGGAAACCATGTCGCCGAGCCGAGGTTGTGGGAGATCCTCACGGGAGCCCTCCAGTGCGCCACCTCCTTCGGCGGCAGAAACCCCTTCACGGCGAAGGCCTCCAGCACTGACTCCCTCACAGTGGATGACCTCCAGCCCGACATTTCGCTCCGGGTTCGCGAATGAATTTGTGAGTTTTCTCCTCTCCCTCGCTCTCCCTTTTCTCTCCTAGGAATTGTCGCGGCTCTCAAACGCTCTCAGCAAGAAGGAAGATGAGAAGAGGCCGTAGATGAGGAATAGGCAAAGGAACGGGACGAATAGCCTTCTCCCTTCTCCTACTTAAGGAAAAGGGCGCAGCAGTTGGGAAAGGCACGCCGATTGGGGAAAGGCGAAACAACGGGCGAAAAACCCTCTCCCTTCCCCATTTAATGCAGATGGGATATGATGGGACGCACCCCGACTGATGAGACGCGCCCTGCCCGACGAAACAGCGCCTGATCAGGCGGGACGTGGCCTAGGTATGGCCCACCACTACCGCACGCCGGGCATAAGAACCAAAGTGCCACCACGCGCAGGCGGCTCTTCGCCTTCCTAGGCGGGACTTGGAAAAACCCAAACCAACGGGATCTCTGTCGGGAGAGACCATCGGGCTTCCTAAGTCGATCGAACGGCTCAGGAAAACCGCCGAGAGACAGGTAAGGAGCAAAGGGACGCCCTATGCGGGCCATGCCGACTCCGTCACGAACGACGTGCACGGGTCCCAGTCGGACATTTCCGATTGTAGCTCTTCAAACCCTGTCACTCGAGTCATCAAGGTAACACTACCGACCCCCGCTATTTCTTTATATAATTATTCATACATTCATACACGCATTCATTCCATACGCCCGTGCCCCCAAGACGATTCGGGCCCTGAATCGCCCGGGGGCTCGGGAACTAAGGCATCGCACGTGCGGCAAAATGCATCACAACGCTCCGTGTTGCGTCACAAAGCGGCAGTTGCCTCATTCAACATGAGCAACGACCGACCGAGGTTCGAAGGCCGGCCCACAAAGAGCTCGAGGCCGCCTCGCGTCAAACAGAGTCAGGGGAGAAAACGCAGATGAGCCCCGTGCGGCCTTCGTCCAGTCTTGCCCCGAAGCGGACAGGGTCATCTCAACCTTCTCGTTCGATCCCAAACCTCTCGCCAAACCCACAGAATCTCCATCGAGGGGAGGCCAGCGGGCCACCCGGGTCGGTCTCCGGAACGACCAGGCATCTGTCGGGTTGCAGGTAAAGAAGCAGTGGAATGTCACAAGAGGGCTATGCCCACCCCGTCACGAACGACGGACCCGGATTCCACTCGATCATACCCGTTTGCGAGCTCACCGAGCGCGTCACTCGAGCCCGAGCGATCGAGGCAAGCAACAAAGCTCAGCCCTCCGGTTGTGAGAAACCGAGGATGGGGTAACGCACTAAACTCAAACCGACCCCTACCAAGCCCAACGGGGCTCGGAGGCTCAAGACACCCAAAACATCTGGGTCTGCGACCCCGAACTCGCCACATTCCTCGTCTACGCCTCGACTGCACACCAAACGCCTGGGTCTGCGACACCAAACTCGCCCCACCAGGATCCGCGAGCTCCGTCTCGCCCGATCCCTAAAAACTAACTGCCTCGGCTGCACGGGTTACACCGACGCTAGGATCCACGACTCCGACTCGCCCGATCCCACGGCGCGCACCGACGCCAGGATCCGCGAGCTCCGTCTCTTCCGATCCCTAAACTAACTGCCTCGGCTGCACCGACGACAGGATCCACGACTCCGACTCGCTGGATCCCATGGCGCGCACCGACGCCACCGTTTCGTCCGATCCCTAAACTAACTGCCTCGGCTACGCGGGCCGCACCGACGCCAGGATCCACGACTCCGACTCGCCCGATCCCACGGCGCGCACCGACGCCAAGATCCACGAGCTCCGTCTCGTCCGATCCCTAAACTAATCGCCTCATTTACGTGCGGGCGCAGACCGACGCGAGATCCACGACTCCGACTCGCTTCGATCCCTGGCGCGCAAGACCGACGCCAGATCCCGCGCTCCGTCTCTTCCGATCCCTAAACTAACTACCTCGGCTGCGCGGGCCGCACCGACGCCAGGATCCACGACTCCGACTCGCCCGATCCCACGGCGCGCACCGACGCCAGGATCCGCGAGCTCCGTCTCTTTCGATCCCTAAACTAAAGCGCGCCTCCGCTGCCGCTGGTTGCACCGACGCCAGATCCACGACCGACTCGTCCGATCCCATGGCGCGCGACCGACGCCGAGATCGCCGAGCTCCGTCTCGTCCGATCCTAAACTAAAGCGCACGCCGCCGCGCTGGCTGCGCACGACGCCAGGATCCACGACTCCGACTCGTCCGATCCCATGGCGCGCACCGACGCCAGGATCAGCGAGCTCCACCTCGTCCGATCCATAACTAACTAACTCGACTAATATACACGCACACACGCCCGGCTGACAAAACCCCCCAGGCAATCCTGCCCGAATCGCCCGGGGGCTCGGGGGCTACACCTGTTGACAAAACGAAACGACCCCCGCTGGCAACACGGAAAACCCCTCGGACGATTCTGCCCGATTCACCCGGGGGCTTGGGGGCTACACCCTCGGGTGCGCGCGCGTCAAAGACAAAAATCCCCCAGACGATTCTACCCGAATTGTCCGGGGGCTCGAGGGCTCCTGTCGGGTTCATAAACCCGGGGTCCCTCACAGACCGGCTTCCCAACAAAGGCTCGGCCCAGCGGACAATGTTGCAATAACGAGCAACTCATGGGCAGGCCCAAGTACCTAAACGACAGGCCAGAAGGGCGATCCAATCACCGACCGGAAGACCTGGCCGAGGAGGAACGGCGCCCGCTTCTGACTACGGCCCGCCTCTCCGACCGGAGCGCTCGCTTCGATCTCCAGCCCACCTCCAGAGGGCCTCTCTGACCGGAAGGCCTGGCCAAAACACCACTTACGACTCCGACCCGCTTCTCCGACCGGGAATGCGGGGAACCCCTTTTACAGCCCCTCTCCGACTAGCCCAATCAAAGCCGACTGGGGCCAACCGACCGGGGACGCCCACTCGGTAAGGACCAGGAAACGGACGAAGAAAGTACGGCAGAGCACACAAGTCAAACCGCAATACCAGGGACCATACCCTGTGCACCTGCCAGACAGTACCCTACGACTCCTGGCACGACAGAGCTATAGCAGTTTTGTAGGCGCCGACATTTTCCCTTACAGTGTTGTGGACGCCATTAACTCCCACACCAGACAAATACGGTATGGCTCCCCCCACATGCCTCTGGGCGTCGACAGTGTTGTGGGCGTCGGCATTTACCATACCAGGCGAACATGGTAAACCCCGTTGCATGTCTCCAGGTATCAACAGTGTGGCAGGCGCCGACGTCTGCCATACCCGAAGAAGACAACACAACCTCCCACGTACATCTGACATTCAACAGTATTGTGGGCGCCTACCATCATCCTGTGCCCGCCGGCGTGGGCAACAAGACTTAGTAGCATACGTACTCTCTCATTCTCACTTGTAAGGCCATTCCCTTCATCTATAAAAGGGAATACGCTCTCTCCCAACAGAGATATTCATTCAGATCGATCAAGTTCACTGGTACACAACAACAGAACCAACAGATTTTAAACCTCGAGCACACGCTCGAACACATAGCACATAGCGAAGCTCCCGTCGCTCTCGGCCCTTCTGACCAGAGTCCGACCGGACCTCTTATACCCCCATCTTTCTCCTTCTCGTTTGTATCCCCACTGCAAACTTCGAGCACCTGGGCTCAGGAATAAAGTCACCGACCGACTCAAACTGGACGTAGGGCACGTTGCCTAAACCAGTATAAACTCTATGTCATTGAGTGCTAGGCCACCTCCGATCACAACGTACGGCAAAACTACAAATATTTACGTGTTAGTCACTTTCTGCACCGACATGAATCTTTTACTAGCCATATGCATATAAGTTTAATTAAAGGAACGTAACAAACATTCTTTTGAATGGGCCAGGTAAAACAGCCCGGAACCTTATGGGGAAACGAAATAGTCGCGCTGCCCAATCAACCTAAATGTTGACTCATGTCAGCAGCAAATTGAAGCAAGTGGCTCCGGTAAGTAACAAATTGACAATGACTGGAGATGCCTTGCACTCTTCTGAAATACTCGTACACTACTTGTAACAAAGATTAGTACTCTATCATATATTGCGTGAATCTAGGAAAGATTCCGACAGAAACAGTGATTGCATAAACAATTGAAGGAACAATCACATTAGGTGAGGATAGCACACCTTGAGTATTCCATGGTTGGATCCTCCACGCAGAGTTTGCTGGACATGGGGTTCTGCTCAATGGTGAACTGCGTGTAGGGCTCCAGCTGCCCCAGCACCTCCTGCAGCGTCCGGCCGTCCGGGAGGTAGATGTACTCATCGACATCGAAGAAGAAGGTCCAATTCGCGGCGTGCCGGTAGCGGTGGAGGCAATCGTTCACCACCAAGAACTGGTTGTAGTAGTAGCCGTCGTACTCCGCCTGCGCCCGGATGTCCTGGACGCTGACCCGGCCCACCCGGACCCACGGATCCAGCACCGCCCTGACCTCCGGGCTGACACCACCGGCGTCGTGAAGCACGAAGTGCGACGCGGGGCCGAAGAAATGCGCGTGGTAGGCTAGCCACTCCCTCATGCGAGCTGCGCTGAGATTCCCGTAGAGCGAAGAGCCGCAGTACAGGTACTCGTAGGGGAACGGCGGCCGGAACCGGGACTCGTCGTAGGAACCCCGCGCCTCCTCGAGCGCAACGAAGCGCTCGTACCGGCGGGAGGCAGTTGAGTAGTATGCGTGGATGAGGAGCTTCCCGCCGCTGTTGTCGGCGCTGGGGTTGGTGGGGAATGTGCAATTAACGACGACGACGGTGTAGATGCGGCCGTAGCCCCAAGTCCGGCAGCATCTTGTAGGCCTTGGTACGAACGGCCCGCGGCGGCGCCGGCGACGATGGATCCTGGTTGGGTACCCACTCGCACTTGAAGTAGGGGGTGCCATAGACGTGTGCCGGCTTGGAGGCTAGCCCAATGACGGCGAACGTACGCGGGCCGCCCCGGTACGCGCCCATCTGGACGAACAGAGCCGCCGCGCTGCCGTACGAACGGAAGTCCCGCTTGTTGGGATCCCGCGGCCGGGCGGCTGGCAGCACGGACGCAGCCGGCTTCGTCGTCGTGACGGCGGGAACAGCCGAAGAGGCCGTCTTGGTGCTTGCAGCGTTGGCACTGGAGTTGGCGGAAGGAAATGAGGCGACGGTGGCAGCGGCGCGGGAGGAAGCTGAGATGGGAAGGCGGGGGAGCAGGGGGCAGGTGGAAGACGGGCGGGAGTCGGAGAGGAGCGGCTGGTAAGGGTGGAGCTGCCAGAGCGCCATGACGAGCGTGAGCAGCGCGAGGGAGGCGACGAAGGACTTGATGTCAAAGCAGGAGACGCCTAATGCTGCCACGCCACCGCCGGCATCTTGCCTCGCGTCGGGCTTCATATCCGGTTCTTGGCCTCTCGGTCTGCGCCGCTCCTCGCAGCTGGGAGAAGGTGAACCGCACGGAGCGGAGCAAGACGAGGTGCCGGCGTCGCGGACACCTTGCCTGCCCACTTTCTCCGCGTTTGCCGGAGAGCAGGAGGGGTGGGTGGCTCGCTGCCTAGGTACAGCTGCTTTCCCACCGGGAAAGGAAGGCCAAATGGGGAAGGAGATCGATCTGGGAGATGGAAGAACGCGCAAATGGGGGAATGCAGGAATTGGGGATGGATTGAAGACGACGAGAAGACGATGATGGAAGGTGATGAGTGGGGCTGTCAGTGTGTGTAAGAGTAAGGTCCAGTTTAGTTCCAGAAAATTTTGCCAAATTTTTCAGATTTTCCATCACATCGAATTTTTAAACGTATGTATGAAGCATTAAATATAAATAAAAAATAAAACTAATTACACAGTTTAGACGAAATTCACGAGACGAATCTTTTAAGCCTAATTAAACTATAATTAGATACCCATTACCAAATAACAACGAAAAGTGATATAATACATTTTGTAAAAATTTTCGCCATCTAAACATGCCCTAACTGGCGAACGAGTGGTGTCCTCTCTGTCCTGTATGAGCCGTGGCGTGGTGGGCCTTGTGGGTTCTGAGTCGAACAGCTTGTAGCCTATTCGGTTGGCTGGTTTGTTTTGTTGCTGATTTGTAAAGAAGTACTGCTTAGCTGGTTTGTGTGAGAGAAAAATATTATTCTAGCTAGAAATTTACGATCATTTACGATAAGCCACAGCCAAACGAATAGGCTGTTGATGGCGTGCTGAGCCACGGATCTGAACTCACCAGCTCGTGTTGTTTGACAGATGACAGGGCTCTCGCTCCTTAAAAACAACTACCTCCCTTCCAAATTATAAAAAAAAAACCTTTTTTTAAAGATAAAGAAAATTATATTAAAACTTGACAAAGTACATGCTCAGGTTACAAATAAAAGAAATCTAAAATAAATAAGGTATCATATTCTATTCAGATTCTTCGATCATCTTCTTTCCTAATGACTTTTTCTGATGCAGCTAATGCTCTATACGACCACAACCTTGTTGAACACCGAAGTCAGAGCACAATCCTTATACTGTATTCAACGATCGACCTAAAATATTGGACATGCCGCAAGATCTAACGTTCCGGAACCAGTCTAAAACGTATTTAAATCGATGAAAGAATATCGGCAGTTGCATCGTTTGGTACAACATATAATGCAGATTCGTTACCTCTAATTCTCGATTTCCTCTCCACGACCATCGTCGATAAAGATTGATGACGCGAACAAATTGTCATCATTGGGAGTGCCTAGAGCACTCCACTTGCAAATAAAGGCTACAAATTGACCGTCTGCCAATGAAATCGATGCCTGCAATGGTGATCTCATCGTGGCAACCACCAAAATCATCGCAGATAATGAGATGGCAACAAAAAATCATCTGATTTCATCGAAAGATTTATTTGGACTAACCCTAAACAAATTGGATATAAAAACTGCGAGAAAAAAAGATGGGTCCCATCTCCTTTCTTACCTCCTGCAGACGCACCGGGGAGGAAGAAGAAGAAGAGGGGCCATAGGTGGAGGAACGGCGAGGACCTTGGAGCGGCAGCAGCGTTTCCTGTGAGACCCGAGGCGGCCGCTCTTAATAAAAGACCATTTTGACTTTTTTTATGTGTATTATTTTTGTAATGTATTTAGATATACATTATATCTAAGGGTATAGTAATAGCTACGAATCTAAAAGAAATCAAAATGTACTATAATTTTGAATGGAAGAAGTCGATGATATCTCTCGGGTTGCTATAGAAGTTTTATTGCATTGTTGTTATATATGGTAATAGAATGACTTTAAATATTAAAGTTGAATAGAAAAAATGAATGAAAAAAGAAAGAGAGGAAATGATCGAAACTTTTACCTTTCTGCAACCTCTTATGCATAAGGTCTCTGATTACACAGTAAATGATTAAGCCCCTGTTTAAGCCCGAGATGCTCCAACTCCGGTTACGAAATTTCAAAAAAAAGTATACTCGGATTTTTTGCCCAACAGTGTGTAGTAGCTGAGCTAGGGAGAGTGAGCGGAGAAAATTCCTCACCTCCGTCTTCCTTCCAACATTTAGTAGCACAAAGTCCACCGTCGATCTCCCAAGCTCCGACGAAATTAAGATACTCTTCCCAAGATATTGGCTTCTTTGTCTCGGATCTCCTCTCCAACCGATCTCACACATCCCCTCCCAATCGAGCTCTGCCATGAGCATTGGCGGCCCGCGAGCGAGGCACGAGCAGCGTCGTCATGGTGTTGCCTCTGTTCCTTCTGTCGTTGCACGGGGGAAGGGGCACCAGCAACTGCTACTGTGGTGGATGCAGGAGAGCGGCGAGGACAAACAACAACATCAGGGGCAATTGCTAGGAAATAGTACTAATTTTATATTTATCCAATTTGGTGGGAAACGTGCCTATCCAAACATCGATGGCTGATTTTTTTTATATTTAACTTATTGTTATCCTTACGGATAGCACTCCTCGGCGCGCACGTGGCCTTGGTGCGCAGCGGCCTGGGCGTCCTGGGCCCGATCAGCCACATAAACCCGTTGTGAGAATGCGGGCTGGCCAACGGGATTACATGGGCTAGCGGCGTGGCCCACGCCACTTGCAAGTCTAATAACAAGCTACGGAGGACAAATAAAAGAGACTTGCTAAAATTCAGGTGCTTGCATTTTAGCTTCCTTTTGGTTGTAGTTTGTTACAATTTATGTAGACATAATATATAATTCTTGGTTTTGAAAAGAAAAAACCCGTTATAAAAACATAAACCTGACAAAATTCGATCTATGTTGGCACAAAAACAGTCAACAATTTATATTTATTTCTATAGTCAGATAAGGACAAAAATTTGATATGTTATGATACAAAGACAAATAACAAATCACAAAATTAACAATTTATTTGTACTACAAGAGTGTTGCCTGAAATCATTTCAAATTTTAGGCACCTAAAATGTAGGAGAAGTGCAAATAAAAAACAAGATGTGGCGTAAAGTTGACAAAGCTTGATTAATGGCACATACATTAAGAAAAAAAACACATGACACAGCCAGGATAAAGAAAAGTAAAACAAATTTGAGGTAGGGCATATGCAAAACCTAGCCTTACCGAGAGCTCCGCAACTAAAAATAGCTCCACATCTATGTGGGGGAGATTTTCCCCGTCTCCATCCCCATCAAGGTCGTTGTGGAGCATTTCCCAAACCTTGTCTACGGACGAGGAATTTATCCCTATGGTGATTTCTGTGCCCATCAAGGAGCTGTTGGAACAGAACTCACCAAAGTCATCGGCGATGAAGCTCTTGCTCCCATGATCTAAAACCATGCCAACAGTAGGCGCAGCAGCACCTCACCATCGATCCATTATTGTGCCTGCTCATGCAAACGTGCATCACCATGCTTGCTCGCATGATCACGTAGTAGCTCCTTGCCACTGATCCATCTGTGTGGATGGCGATATGCTAGTGTGTGGAGGGTCTAAGCAATGGGTAGATGAACTAGTGAGCAGTGATGCTTGGATGTGACATAGGGGGGCGGTCAGGACTTACTAGGTGGAGGAAGCAACAAGCGATGACACTTGGATGCATGCAAGACAGGGAGAGGGCAAGGGGTGATTAGGAGTTGGGACAAGGGCGGAAGGCTATAGGTGGAGAAACAAACCGAGAGATGGATAAGATTTCTAGCATTCGGACGGAATAGATGGGTGGCTAGGGTTCCCTAGGAGATGGATACGCAGATTCATCTTATTTAAATGGGGCTTCGTTAGGAATAGGTATAGGGAATGCTCCCTGTCCCCCGACCTACCAGACTCAATGAGAGAGGAATCTACCCCTATTTAGTTCCCATGGGGCTAAATTTGCTCTCATCCCTATCCCCTAAAATGGATCGGAAACCACATAGAAAATCAGGGATCGAGGCCCATTGCCATCTCTAGGTGCAACCGAGTCACCATTAGTGATTGAGAAATGAGTGTTTGTGAGGTAAGGGGCATGTTAGGATTGATCTGAGCTCCATCAATGACTTTGACTAAGTCTTGGGGGCTAACAACTATTGACTAAGCCTTCCCCATGATCAGAGGGCCTACAACTCATCCTACCCTAAGTTATAAGAGAAGGCAACCCATGGCTGTGAAAGGTTAAGTGGCAATTAGGGTTGTTAGACTGTAACCTCTTGATTAGGTTTCCTCAGGTGAGGCACTAAAGACTAGAGGCCAGCCACCCATCAAGAAGACATTAGTGGTACTCCTACATCGTCACCATCTTTATGCCTGCTACCCCGAGTAGGCTCAAGGATGTCAACAGCCCCCAAGGACACATCTACCTGATGAGGGGTGGCGAACGAGCTTGAGCAATAGCATGGAGTGGCATGGGCGCTGGTGGTGGCAAGTAGTAACAATGTGCTAGTGTCATGGCTAGCGAGCAACGTGCAGGTGTGGACGGTCTCAACGCAAAAAATATCATTTTGTTGGGTTGCCTGCCGACTTGGTTTCCTTATGGTAAAATGATTTCTACTTTTTTCTTCTCTTTCCTCATCTACTCTCTTACCCAAAGTATTTTGCATACATGATAAGTTTATTAAAGAGTAAATTTCACTTGCGAACCTTGAACATGTTATATCATGGTCTAGGTGCATGCAAATTGCACACTTGGTGTGTAAGTTCTCATCTCAAATTTGGTATTTGCAAATTGCACACTCATCTCTCTAAACTTGTATTATTATACCATCCAGGTCATCCCCCTCCCCCGCACCACGAGATGTTTGTCACCCTTCTCGCTACACATAGATGTCTCACTCGCATGACTGTAGCATGCTCACCCCATGTGCCTATGCTGCATCACTGGCATGGTGCTGGAACATCTACCAACCATGATGAAGGCACTGAGGCTCATTCTTGAGTTCGCCGAGAGCGGATCAGGCCGTGGTTTGCTAAGGG